TGATAATGATGATGATGATGATGATGAAGTAATGATGTGACGATGATGACGATCAATAATTATTGTTTAACTTTATCTAGTGTATGCCATGAAGAGGACAATTTAGTTTCATAGGAATTTTCTGTCAGACCGATATAGAACAACACAAGATTAACCTTCTGTCACATTTTTGGATATTCTTGTTAAACTTTTAAAAAGGAAAACTAAACGTACATACCGTCTATTTCTTTTGGCAAGAGAAGAATATAGGCGAATGTAGTAAGGAAAACAGGCAAATGCTTCATGATTCGCTTGTGTTTTTAAACCTCCACTTGATCGTAGTAAATCACCTGTGAAGAAAACATTACTACTTGTCATGTTATTTATCAACTGTATGCTTAATAACCAAATTATTATCTGAAAGCTCACCGCAATAGTAGTACACGTCCATTAGAACTTTGTAAAGGATGGACCATTAAATAATTGAGGGGGAGCAATAGCGCAGCGCACTGATTCTAAAAATAGCTCAAAGATTCGGACAAACATTGCATTCTCTTTAACCGCTACGAGGATTATACGAACCGATTTTATTATTTTTACTTAAAGTTACAATAATAACCCATGTAAACTAAGATCAACTGCGATCGTCTGTGAAAATTATCTGCTGAAAGTAAACTTGTAAGTTTGTTTGTCCGAATTTCGCCTTTGTCTTCGTTTTGATGACGTCAGGACTGCGCTGCGCTATTTGTTTGTGTTTGCTCGATATATTCTTTACTTAAAAGAGTTTGCGCGATATTATTCGATCGCCGCAGAGCGGAGGAGAGGAAAATCATTCTCTTCTCGCAGGGTTAACGTTTGCATGGTGTTTTAAGAGAGAGACTAGTTACTGGTTACTGACTTAGGGAGGGTGAAGCTATAGCCCCGCACTTTTTGCTAATGTCCATTACTTTTCTTGATCGAAGCACCCCCCCCCCTCCCCTCCAACACCTCCCCATCCGTTTTAGAATGCTCCGCGGTCCTGATGGTCGTTGACAGTTATTTGGCATGACCTAGGTCGAAAACACGCAACAAAACACAGCTGCAGTGCGTCGTGAAAGCCAATGCCAAGGGAAAATAAACAGAAAAATAACACTGGAAATACTTCAATTTTATCGTAAACACATGCGATACGGCATTATTTATTATGAAGTTCCAAGGATATTGGAATAATTTTTAACTTCCAAGTTATTGTATTATTTGAATTCAAGTACGCTCAGTGACAGAGTCATGATTCGATACAGCTAAATTCCGTTTCTTTAAAAACTTCGATCGTTTTTAAGCTAGTTAAACTTATTTGAGACTGTTTTCTCGCGAAACTAGTCATTCCAGTTGTAAAAACAAGACATTTCCCATCAAATATAACATGGGATGTAATTTGTAAATTTACTTATTTTATAATCGAATTTTAAGAGCTGACTTACCGTCTTGAAATGTGTTTTTTTGTCGCTTCGTCGTGTTTCAGAAACAAGACCGTATTTGGATGCCCCTGTAGTTGATGCTTTTTCACGGTCGGAAAAATCTTTTCACTCTCGTCGAGAAGGCAAACAAAGTCGACCAGAACTTAAGAACGACTGATTTCTCGAAGCGCAGATCCTGTGCAGACACGCTGTGAGGTTATAAGCTCATAATTCATGGAAATTAGATCGATATCGGAAATGCCATTTTATACCAGACGGGTTATTCTAATAGGTCTTGGCAATATCTTTCTACGGATTGTTATTTTGGATGGACACCATCGACCTTTGAAAAATGATAGCATCTAGCGCGATTTTCCCATTTCCCGTGGTAATGTAGCTCTGCCTAGCGGCGGTCTAGGGGATAGGGGAAGGGGGAGGGGCTCCTTCCAGCATTCCCCTCCCTCAATCCCATAGACCGCCGCTACGCAGACTAATTTCAGCTTCAAGTACACTACTTTGGCCGCCTGTGATTTTTTATTACAAAAGTAAACTAGAACAGGAGTGATGTGTACATAGTGTTGCATTCGCGTTTTTTTGGTTGATTTGAGTTTCGAGTAAACTAAGAGCTGTTCGTTTATTACGTCGCAGGGGGTTGGGGTGGGGTAAAGGGAGGTAAGGGGGGCTGGTGATTTTCAAGGGAAGAATATTTTTGTTAAGCATCCCCCCCCCCCCTCCCAAACAATTGTGTATATTTTTAACACCATTCCTATTTTTCTTTTAAAATAATTTTACCCTCCCCCTTCCATTCCTCAAAAACTAAGTTCCCCCCCTCAAATTACTTTTTTTTTTCAAAAAAAATATACTCCCCCCTCACCGCCGCCCCTTACGACGTAATAAAAGATCGGTTCCTAAGATTAATATATTTTTTCACCCTGAAATGTGTAGAGGTGCATATAGCAGTAGTAACCAGTAAATTAAGGTATATATAGAGTGACTAGTGCATTATGCCTGAGATGCGCTTCAATGATCGCTTGTCTGCGTGACTAACTGGTTCTCGATGAGTAGTTAATTCAGCGCTTTATATGGTATATAATTTGACAACTTATGCCTCGAACGCGTCCTTTCTCATGAAGGCATCAATACAGCTTCACGTGTGACTTAAAAATTGAAAAAACCTAAAAGAAATTAGTTGGATTATGTAGTTTAGTATAATGGAAACTTTACGAAAAAACTGGAAAAGTCTAGAATGACCATGAAGAAGCAAAGCTTGTTATTTTTTAGTACCGAGCGATTACAGAAGTTTTTTATCGAGTTACTGAAGGCATAAATAAAGTGAAAAATAAATAAAGTAAGACCCTATAGTTGGGCTCACGGCAACTTAAATTTGATTATTGATAAATATATTTTCAATCGTGAAGTCGATTGTGTGGTAACGAGTTGAAACTCTAGCAAGAAACACACTTACCAGCTACACGTGACGCTTTCACCGACTCAATTTCCTCAATCAAACTTTCCCGAATTACTGTGGTCCCACCACCAACAAGGTCTTACTTAAAAGAGTTATGGGCTTCGCTGTCGCCAAGCTCGCTTCAGTATAAAGTGATAAATGACTTTTTGCTTCAAATATCTTTGATACAGTTGAACGGTTTCCACGCACCGGAAGAGGTTGAACGCGTGACTCATTGATAGGCGTGACAAGCAAGACAAGAGGGTGCTCTGGTCCACTTGAATGACTTTGAAAGAATTATTAATCACATGTTGAACCATTATTAAATATTATGGAGTAATTAATCTTGTTATGCAGTGAATATCGAACCGGGAAAAGAAATGGTCAAAAATCCTGTTCGATGCCCATTCTTTACCTCATAAATGCCTTTCGCGGGACAGGATGGATTAAAGAACATAAAATCCCAAGTGTACTTACGAGCCTATTATGTCTCCAAGATGTGCGCGCGCAACTTAGAGTAAAATATTTTGAAAACTCAAAAGACTCTCTCTGATAAATATCTAACTTTTACTCTTTGTTGCAATTACAGGACCATACCTCCAGACCTAGTGCTGAAGCGCAGTATGGCAGCGCCAAGCATTTACGGCTATGCCGGAGATTTCTGCCCCGACACAGCTATCCATAATGACTGATCAGGGAGCTCGGTCGAAGTCTAAGGCAGAAGTTAGTCGGCACCTAAACCGTGTAAGATTAACGCCTTGCTATGAACAGCGAAAAACAAATTTGTTCTCTGATGACTAAGTTCCTACAGTTGCCTCATACCATGTGGGAGGTATGAAATTCCATCCAAGACTTTTGCTTACAGAAGTTAGTCATGCGCAGTATAGGTATATTTATAAACCTTCGTTTGGTGGACCTCATAAGCCTTTGCTTGCCACCTTTCTCTTTGGATTGAGCGCTAAGAGCCTCACAAGGGATAAGTGAAAAATCCAAATTCTTCTTCAATACGGTCACTATAAAAATCTCGTTTTAAAGTTAATGACGATCCTCCCATATATTTCCTTATAAATATTTTTCGCTGGACAGTGATGACTTGCACAACAAAATCTCGAATTTCTCTGGCTGTACATCCGTTAGAGTCTTAAATTAAAAAGTAATAAACCTTTAATCATCTGGCGCTCTTATCCAGATCAGATAGAGTACTGGTGACAAGCGAAACGAGAGAGCATAAAGCCGTTGTTTGGTACTGCCTTTCTTATAGCCTCGGCTACCATCTTTCTGGTTGGGTTAAGCACAGAAGGCCTTGCAAGGGTCTCGTTCATAAATCCTGTCCTTTTACACCTCAAATTCACTTGCCCAAAATCGATCAAGTATTGAATACAGTCATGGAAATCTTGTGTTGAAGTGAATAACAAAACTGGTCAAAAATCCTGTTTCTGTCCATACATTCCTTATAAATGCGAAGGAGGTGGCTGCACATTCGTTACACTGAGACTTCAATTAAACAGATTCTTTGATCATTTGGCATCTTATCTATCTGGCATCTTAATCCATCTTATCCAACTTTTTAAATCTATTTATTTATATTTTTGATCTGCTTTGACCAAAACATAAAACCTTTAGCTTGTAAAAAAGGTCCTTTCAATGGATGTGAAAAAGTCGCCCGGCCCTCATGGTCTCATCTAGTCACATCCAGTGAAAGGACCTTTGAAGCAACGGCTTCTAATCGACTCAAGCTCTTAAACTATATTTGCACATTAATAAGTTCTTTCATATCTATTTTATATTTATTTTTGATTTGCTTCGACCAAAACGTATGACTTTTTGCTTAAGAAAAAGGTCCTCTCAATGGATGTGAAAAAGTCGCTCCTTCATTTTCTCATCTAGTTCACATCCAGTGAAAGGACCTTTGAAGTGTCAGCTGTTAATCAACCCAAGCTCTTAGACCAATCCATACGCGCCCATTAAGTTTCTTCTTATCTATTTTGTTTATATTTTTGATCTGCTTTGACCAAAACATAAATAATTTATCTTATAAAAAAGGTCCTTTCAATGGATGTGAAAAAGTCGCCCCTTCATTTTCTCATTTAGTTCACATCCAGTGAAAGGACCTTTGAAGAAACAGCTGATAATCTTTAAACTAATCCATATTCGCCCATTAAGTTTCTTTTTATCATTTAGCTTAGTAAGCCATTACCTGGTGTATTTGAGGCAATACGATGACAGTCAGAATGGCAGTTGTAAGTCAAGATACTAATTTGCGGTTCATCATAATCTGACCTCTATCGCTTAGATCATAGGTACTGAACTGGTGCCTTTTAGGGGTAAAAATCATTTTTTGCCACACCCACATTTGATAAGGCTTAGGTACCTCCAAGGGGTAATTTTCAAAATTTTCGACGAGCATCCCCTCCCTTCGTATAGGAGTCGCTCTCGGGAACTCCTTTATCTAACACTACCTCAAATACATATTAGTCCGTTTGTCCTATAGCTAGCATTTTCTAAAGCGCTCGCGACCAAATGTATGGTGAAATGGTTTTCCGGCGAATGCGTTTGTGATTGACTCCAATTCGTCCACTTGTAAGTCCCGTATGCATCCAACAAAGTTTCCAACAAGACCCTTGATAGATGATGGTGCGCCCAGGAAGAAACCAATGGAATCTGGAATGTCAAGGCGGTTGAATGGTCCACGAGTTGAAGCATAACCTGTTGATGGCGATTTAAAGTAAAGTGACAGACTAACTTTGGTTTGGGGTCAGTTGCGCACTTTACGTACTGACAAAAAACCTTGTTTTTACCTTTAAATCTATCGTCGACTGCAATAGTTATTATTTTATCTTGACGAGTAATTTGGACCTTGTGCCATTTATTGTCATTTAAGCTTCGTCCCGGAGATATGACTCGGCCGCTACCTGCAGGAGAAAGAGGTCAAAGTAGTCAGAGGGCTAGAAAAACCGTTATTTTGTTCCCCTAGAATCAGCCATGCCCTGAGTTTGATCAACACAGAGGTGGATCAGGTATTGAAGCAATTACAGCGGATTCACTAGAATTAAGTGTAAATCTGTGCGGGGGGGGNGGGGGGGGGGGGGGGGGGGGGGGGGAATTGTAGTACCGAGAGAAAAACCCTCAAAGCACTAGATAGAACCAGCAAGCAATTCTACTATCAAACTCACGAACATAGCGACGAGAGGCTACGCATTAGGCACGTACCTCAACCTAAGGTTTCAAAGACGAAAGAGAAAAAATAGCTAATCGTTAAAAAAGACAGAGTTTATCTGAAGGCATCCAAGTTGTTTAAGGAGAAATTGGCGCAAAGTGGTTCGCGGTCCAGTATTGTTCATTTATTTATTTTTATTTTTATTTAAAAATTTTTTTAATAGATTTGCCTAAAGGTAGGTGTAAAATACAATAGGACATTTGATCCCTACTAGGTATTAAACACCTAAATGCCCCGTGCTGGTCCCAAGATAAGTTTTATTAACCCAACTTACCTGTACCAAGATCAGCTTGATAAAAAAGACGACCATTGCTGATGCCAATGTAGATATAGTCCCTTAACCTTCCTTTAGAGAACATGATCAAACCATTTGGCCTGGATGTTTTGAAGAGGAACTTGATTACGTTGTTATTTCGACGTATTTTTGATTTGAAGTTGTTGATGGAGATATATTCAAGACCTTGTGTGCAAACACATTGACCTGTATCAAAATGAAAGCACGTGGAGTAAGCATCACGTTAACTGGGTTGGCTCTGGGTAGCTTGGTTGACGCATGTTTCATTGGGTGGCTTGGCTGATGCGTGACTTGACTGGTGCGTGATTCGACTGATGCGCGTTTTGATTGGTGCGTGGGTTGGGTGATGCGTGACTTGACTGGTGCGTGATTCGACTGATGCACGTTTTGATTGGTGCGTGGCTTGCCTGATGCGTGACTTGACTGGTGCGTGATTCGACTGATGCGCGTTTTTATACGTGCGTGGCTTGGCAGGTGCGAGTCTTAGCTGCTGCGTGACAATGCGTGATTTTTTTAATGCTTGGCTAATGCGTGTTTAGTTGATGCTGGCTTGGTTAGTTCGTAGTCTGGCTGATGCACGACTTGACTGGTGCGTGTGTTAGCTGATGCGCGACGATGCGTGGCTTGGTTGGTACGTAGCCTGGTCGGCTGATGCGCGACGTGGCTGGTACGTTTCCCTGGTTCGTACCATAGGGTTTGCCTAGCTTAAAAGTAAGCAATATTAGCAACTATATGTCTTACCTTCTCGTAATCTAGTCATATTGTAGTGTAAAAGAAATCCACGCTGACCAACGCTACTATCAGATTTAAATTCCATTCTAACAGTGTTTCCCACGAATTTCATTCGCTTTGGTATTTTATTTTCTCCTCCTCCGCACATTTTCCAACCCCCATTTTCGTCCTTAATCAACAAATAGTCATTGCTGCATACCAGAGAACCTAAACAATGGGGGGAAAATGTTGAAAAAAGCCACGCTAAAGTCTCACAGATTAAAAAAGAAATTATATTCAAGGGATTGACAATAGCGTGGAGCACATAACAATTATTCGCCAAGGCGAAGTGAATATCGGGGAAATCACCTTAGTATAATTTTAGAAATGAAGTAAATCAGAGAAGGGACGAAATTCAGGATACAAAAATGTTTTAGCATCATTTCCGCTCCGGCAAACTTTGGGAAACCTCATAATCACCGCTTGAGCAGTGAATATCGTCTCAGAATCACTGGTCACTCGACTAATCACCGAGCGCGCGAAACTCTATTCAAGTCTAAAATTATACTAAAAGATATTATTTCATTTTTTCCCCAAAGTATAAATGGTTAACACCAAGAGAGCATAAATAAGAAAGGGAAACTTCTTAATAACGTGCGCTCCATGTAAATTTCCGGTTGGGCTATTTTTAGTAACCGGATGCAGTTGAAATTTCGCGTCACCCAACAGCTTGCGCGCGCGCGCTCTTTCCGTTTATTCTTTCGATCGCCAAAAACAAAACGGAAAGAGCGCGCGCGCGTAACACGGGAGTTGGGTGACGCGAAATTTCAACTGCATCCGGTTACTAAAAATAGCCCAACCGGGAATTTACATGGCGTTCCCTCTTTTATTTATGCTCTCTTGTTAACACATTATCCACTTTATCCAAATCTTTGTGTACTTACGTTGTAAGTGAAACGCTGTAAACCATACATTCATCATATAATTATCAGGCACGCTAACAGTCAGTCTGCACTGTTCATTATTTGTGTAGAGATTAGGATAGTTGGGTGAGGAAAATGAGCCAGACATGTCTTTCTTGATGTATCGAGTGGGGCATATGGAATCAGCTAAAACTGAGAAAGTAAATGAAGATATGATTACATCTAATCAGGATATAGTTGGAATGAGCAGAGGGCGCAAGGATGCGAACGTCCGCCCAGTAGATATAGTTATAGCTGTACAAAAATAAGAATCAAAGAAATCAAAAATTAAAAATTAAAAATTAAAAAAAATTATCGGTACCCTTAACAAACGTTTGGCTGATACTTGGCCACAGGTTACTAACCCGGGGGAAAACTATAGGGTATCAGCATAGTTGCAGATGCTCATTTTCGCTTTACTCACTTATAAAGCAATCAACATGTTAAACTGTTTGCTATATGCTTTGCGTAATTGGGCGTAAACCAGCAGACGCATAAAGCCGCGCAACGATGACATGCCATGCTCTATCATAATATAACGCAGGACATTTGAGAATCTGCGCGCGTACAAGTGATATATAACGGTAACATCCTCTATACTGCCGGGTAGC